GAGTAATGTAGAGTTTATTGGATATATTGAAAGCACACGATTCGTGTGTTTAAGTGGAGTGCTCACCCCCCATAAATGCCCACTTCTTCCCATATTTAAATTACAAGCAGAATGGGCTAAATGAAACTTCCACGTGTAGAATAACTTTAATGCCACCTGATTCCACCTGTTTGTGCAGCTTTCTCCACTCACACACTTCTCCAAGCTTCAGACGTTTATGGCTTTACTGTGTGTTATAGTTCTCCCGACTGCCGACGCACATCAGGACGCGCAGATGATCATTTTTAAAGACCATTTTAAGTTTGGAAAAATTAAACTGGAAGTCTCGCGGGCTGCGTGGTCGGGCTGTCTGTGCGCAACAGGGTGTTGTGTGTGCTCGAGTGGGATGTGTCTGCCTTTCGTTTTGGCCAGCGGCTGCCACATTTAAGACAAATCATAAAGTAGCATTTCTCTGTATGAATATTTATCAGATGAGGTTTCATCTCTTAACACATTCTCTACAATGTTCGCCCCCCTGAATGCATTAAATATCGCCTTTAGGCCTGAGTCGCCCGCACCTATACGAGGCGTCCTTTCACCGTATCTTAATCAAGCTTCAAGTAAGGAAGAAAAAAAACTGCCAATTACTCCCGTTGCCTTTAACAGTCAGGCGTTCGTGGTGGGGGGCAGGGGTGATTTGAATAAAGTAACGGAGATTGGTGTAGAGCTCGGGGGTTTGAATTGTAAACAGCACCGGGCTGAAATCGCCTCGAAATTTTTCCATAACGACCTGATCAAACTTTCACTAAGTGACCGCGCACGTGCACCACGCGGGAGGCTCGTTTCCTTGAAAACTGCCGCAGCGCTTCGATCCAAAAGCGCAGATCAGCGGCTCCTTCTAGTTTCGAAATTTTGTTCCGTTTTGGTCGCGGATCGCTTTGCTGACTCTTTGTCTGCGCGCTTCAGCTTTAGCCTCATCCCACCGTGCCACACAAACTTCTCTTTCATCTCCTTTTAATTTACTTTACATTCATTCGATCGTATATGCAATAAAATCTACTTACTTTAACGCGTTAAGAGCCGATTTCTTCTGCCTCTGACTGGGGCGTGGCAGCTCGGGGCTACAGGGTGCAGTGAAAACGTCTCCCGACCGGGAGGCTCCGGGGAGTAACACTCAGAAACACTGAGCCGTGGGAACGACCTTTATGCGCCGGTGATAAAATAGGATCTTTGGATAATTCAAAGCACTTCGTTATATTCTTTTACAAAATCTCAAAAGACAATCTTTCAGCAGTTTATTAGAATGTTTATTAAAAGACAATCTTTTTATTGACACTTCATGGAGCGATTTCAGTTTACTGGAAACAAAATAAGCTGTGATGTATAAGAAAAGGCTTTGTGGTGCTTTACTGGAGGAGCGGGGCGGAGGAGAGTTTAGTTTGCTTTAAGAGGAGATTACTGCGCATGAGTGACACACTGTGCTCTTCATTAAGATCAACTGAAGGTGTACCCGGGGGTCCGGGTGAAGATCACGGTCAAGGAGTTGCTGCGGAGGCACAGAGAGAAGGAGGCCGACAACAAGAAGCTTAATGCGGTAACTCCTCCCCCCCCACGCCTCTTTGTCCGCTGCTCTCAGTCTCACTTTGTTCTGCTCTGTGCAAGCCTGCACCTGTAAATCACTGACAGCCCGTTTTATGAAAATAAGCCACTCAACTCATTTACAGGAAAACAGCCATTAATAATCTGGTATCGCCCCCCCCCCTCTTTATTTCTCTTTCTTCCTGATCAGCAGATACATCAGGGTTGCTTGGAACTACAGGAGCTTCGCGCGTCCACTTTCCAAAGTAGGTTTGTCCACCCAGTGTGCTAAAACACATCCCAGACACACATGCACTGCAGCGTCACAGTCTGATGATCTTAATCAAGTTGTTTGTTTGTTTGTTTGTTTGTTTGTTTGTTTGTTTTGAGGGGGTCAAACATTCTGTAAAATAAACATATAAATATGCATCAATTATTGAGGACGCCTTTTTCAGTTGGACGGGGGGCAAGAGGCATTCAGATTTCAGAGGGGCGGAGTTCCACCGTGGTCTCTTAGACCACGCCCTTTCAAAGTGGTCGCAGATATATCCTGGTCCGTGATTAAATGATAAGCAATGATTAACCCAGAGCGCGTGATTCGCTGGTTTTCATCGTTTGTATTCTGGATATTTTCGGTCTGACTGTTGCACTGACTCTCGGCAGGTGGCCACGTGGCTCCTCCTCCCTCTGTCCCCCCAGCTGAAGCCAGCAGCTGCGGGTCGCTGGCCCTCCAGCTTCGAGCCACCATCTCGTTCCCAGTCCCTGAAAGCGCGTGCAACATCCAGGTGCAGGAGTGCGGCATCCAGGTGCAGCAGCAGCAGCAGCAGCAGTTTGGGGATGTGATGTTGCCCGGCAACGGATACGGTGGTACCACCTACGACACCCCTCTGCCTCCTTTTCCAACCTCCCCTCAGCCTTGGTACCACGGACTGTCCTCAGATGCGGACTACTACGGCCAGGGGATGGTGAGTCTCAGCTGGCATCAACAACACCGTCATTAACGAAACGATCACAAACTGGGATTTCTTTCAACTTCCAGTTTGTGACAAAACGGAAACAATTCCTAGTTTTTCTGTTTGTGACCAAAATGTAAAGATTGTTTTAAAAGCATTGAGACCAGCAACAGCAATGCGTTTATTTGGAGCAGAGGTTTGGTGTTTATTTCCACAAACACGGTCAGTGTGCGGTTTGGTTTGTGTGGATGTATCTGAAGGAGCTCGTCTTGCTTTGACTGTGATTACAGCTGTTTGATAAAATGATCTGTCTGGCAGGATAAACAGCTGCATGTCAGTTCTGTAAGCTGTCTGCACACAAATGAATGCATGAAATCAAAAACACCACTCACAAGTGTTCCTGGTGAGCCTGGGCCTAGCTTTGGTTGGATGACCACCATGTGGCACACCTGCAGTCCTGCCCAAAGTCATTTCGATGTCCTCCTCTCTTTCAGGCCCCTTGCTCCTCATTGGAGTCACTGACTTTCTGCAACCCTGTGGATCCCAACACTTATTCCCCACAGGACTCCTTCTCTTCCTCCTCCTCCTCCTCGTGCTATGACTCGCCCACCAGAATGGAGTCAAGCTTCAGCCCACAGCAATACCACTATCAGCACTGTGGCCCCCAGGAATATTACAGCTTGCCACAGTGCTGGTCAGGCCAGCAGGAGAGCCCCCCCACCCCAGAATGTGCACCTTACTTTGCTCCCACAGACTATCCCCAGGTGTATCCTGTAGAAGACAGCTGTTTCCAGAAGGATCTCCCGCTGAGCTCTGAGATGTGCTACAACGCTTTATGATGAGAGCGTGAACAGTATTACTTTGTATCCTGTAAATACGATTTGGCTCAGAGAGGTTTTCGCTTTGCATTTCACTGTGTCTGCTTTACTTTAATCGATTCATTTGTAATAAAAACTAAATGATATATTTTCATACGCGAATGTTTTGCTGCACAAAATAAACATGTGTAAAAGTCAGCACTGTGCTTGTAATGTGCGCTTGTCTATTGCAGAGTTTTGGGATGTTTGCTTCAGCCAGCAGGTTCAGACTTCACCCTGTGAACATGCCCTGTAGCCACAGGTAACAAATAAAAGTGAAAAATGTGGGAAGAGTGTGAAAGTAAATATCACAGGCTGATAACATGTCAGGGCTGAACTGAGCTGGAACGCAACAATTGGAAACAAAGGCAAGGAAACGTCAGAGATTTGACTTTGGCCTGCAGGGAAGTATTTCACCGGGAGTTCAGAGATCAAAGGAGAACAGATTAACAGACGACTCACAGCGGCTAACAGAGCAGGACGTCTGCTAATCAGAGCGTTGGTTTGGCTTCTTCAAGAGTCCTCGAGCTCCGAGTTGTCGCATAAAGCCTTCGCTGCAGCCGCTGTGTGTCAGTGAGACTGGTATTAAAGATAGGTGTCAGTCCATTTATCTGATCTTTTCAACAAACTCTCAATAATTTCTCCAGACTGGGAAACAAACACTGTTGAAGCTGCGACTCCCTCTTATCATACTGACAGGTTTTACATGTACGGTGCTCAGACAGACTGTCAAAAAACAATTCAGTAAATGGACTGTTTCTCTACTCTGAGCACTTTTGTCCTGTTTAGTGCTCTAACAAACACACACACACACACACACACACACACACTGCATGTTAGTAGGTGAGCTGCTCTCCCACAGTCACTGTGTAACTGACCAGTGTGGATTATTACACTTAGTCGTCACTCAGTAGATTCTTACTGCTTGATATTTGTATGACCTCGAGTTTCCCCTCGTTTAACACTGAAGTAATGAATATTTAATAACAATTTTTCATGTTGCATGAAAAAGAAAAACAAATAATCCCACGCAAAGCTTTTTTAATGCCTGACCGATTTTACTGGAGTTTATCTGGAGCCTTTGGCTCAGTGTCACGAGTGATTATTAGATACATAAAGCAGCTGCCAAACTATGTAAAACATCTTTCTGCTGCTATCTTCTGTCTTTAAAATGGCAAGTTGAATCTCGTTATGAAAGCGGATGTGTGTGTTTGGTAATTTGTGGACAGGCTCTTTGTGCCAAACGCAATCATGGAGCATGGAAAAGGTTTTCCAAGTGTTTGTCTGCTAAAACAAACAAACAAACAAACAAAAGAAAGAAATCATAAAATTCTGGATTATTTTCTTACTTCCTGGTCGCACTTCAAACCTAGCTCACTCAAAACTAGTGTCTCAAACTAACACAATAAACGAGTGCGTGCTCCACAGATCCTGTTGGCAGGCGTCCCTTTCACTGAGCCAGCATATGTGGAAATCCCCTTGGAGACACTTGGAGACAGTGTGGAAAAATAACCCAAAACATTTAGGCTGAGCGCCTCATGGCAGTGCCATTTCTGCATGCCGACAAAGACCAAACTTTATCATCATATTCCAGGAACCACGATAACTTCTACCAGTGTGAAGTCTTTATCCATTTACAAGCTAAATGTGCAGGAAACCATTGTTCTCTTAGTTACTGAGTTACAGGATGTGAGTCCACGCACTCTGCACCCAACAAACACACCGCGCCAACTCGTCCAAGTGCAAAGAAAACACACGTGCATGGGAAGTCTGCAAGCCCATACTTCATGTTGTTTGAATCTTGCCATAAATCATCAAAAGGAATCTGGACTAAAAGTGAAAAGAATGAAAAAATGAAACAAAAACTGTAAGAAAAAACACTCTGGGAGCTAAAACCAAAAGTCAAACTGGAACAAAAAGAACTAAGAAAATACAAAACTGTGATAACTGCACAATGTGAGTGAGTTAACCCGACCACATGAGTCAGTAACTGTAAACAACAGGCTCGATGCTTTTCTTCTGTAACTGTCGAAGCCTCCTCGTCTAATATTACAATAACAACATTTTAACTATGACCCACACTTCACCATGTGAAGGAGAAACAACAGAAGAGAAAGAAAGTGATGCATCAGATGGACGTCTCCGCAGACGCTCAGATGTTTCTATAAACTCTACAGTTTAGTTGTTGTTGTTTACTTTGGCTTCATTTTTCAGCCCCGGGGTTGCAGCTTATATTTAACTGGTCCAGTATTATTCATACTGGGGTTTAGACGGGTTGTCAGAAACCCTTTTTTTTAGGTAAGGTCATGAACGCCACTTCAGGTGAAAGTGCTCAGGCACATATAAGCACTGTGTGATTGTGACTCGTGGTAGGAAGTGCTCTGAGGGCCTAAAGTGAGTAGAAAGAAGTCACAGTTTTGCTTTTTAGTTTCAGGGTTTAGTTTATTCTT